TTCATAGTTTTTATTCTGTGCTTAGGAACAGCCTAGTGTGGGGCATCCACCAGAAACCAGGCTGCAGTGCGCTTAGCCTAGTGCTGTTTTAGAGGACACCACCCTCAAACCCCACTTTCCCTCACTCTTAAAATACCCATGGGAATGAGACTGCTGCAGACATCTGACATCTAAGTCACATTCGCATCTGAGTTATGTGGATGGGGAGTGAACTGAGCACGAACGTAGGTTCAAGCATATGTTTGATAGTGTGGACATGCAGTCTATATGTGGTGGCTGGGAGTATAAAAACTGGGGAAACAAATTACCTCTGCAATTAATACTTTTGCAATAGCTTTTCTTGGTCCACTGCTGGTGTTCACAATTTAAGGTGGTTATTAGGTAATTATGGAAAACCTTGGAAAGAGCAGAAAATAGGACAATGTGGTGGGCAGAAGGACTCCAAATGATTTACCTGTTTAAGAAACAGTTACATTCCAGGACACCTGGCACAAAGGGAACTCACCTTTAATAGAGGACTTAATAAATATAAGGTCCAGTGGCTACAAGCCAAAGCTAAACAAACTCTGATTACCTACACTGAAAACATTTTTACAACAGGTAATAGTCATTGGAAAAATTTGCAAAGAGCTACAGTGGGATTTCCCAGAAGTTGCACTCTCTTGTTGTTGCTAAAAGAGTTCTACTTCAAACACAAATTAAGTAAGGGAAGTCCTACAGCTTCTGTTACCCAAGAGGTCAAGCGAGATGCTCATAATAGTCTCTTCTGGCCTTGTAACCTATAAATAGAGTCCCAGTGGAAAAAAAATTATCCTTATCTCGGGCTTTCCCAAAACACTGTTGAAAAAACAATAGGAATGCAGTAAGATCAGAAATAGCCACTTTGCAACAGTTGTGCCTAGTTCACTATTTCTACTGAAGAGACCAAAACATTTTGTGACCTTATTCCAGAATGTCTTTTAAGCTCTTCCTTCTTGCTGTCAGAACTCAGCCATACACCTATTTTCAGAGAATTTGATAATTATAACAAAGGTTGAGTTTGAAGTTGGTGGGAGTTTTGCCATTCTGATTTAATGGGTGGATCAAACCAGAGTATCTTTGCAATTTAAGGACACGCCTCAAATTCTCCGTCCGATGTGAAGTGAAACTCGGGGGAATTATGCCACACACACACAACTGCTGAGTCTGGCTGAAAGAACAGACGTTTCTCATATACCATGTCAAATACTGTTATATTTAGGCAACATTTGAAAAGAATTCTACTTACATGAAGTGAATCATTAAATAGCCACAGTACAAATGCCGTACCAGCAACAGACAAAAATTTATTCTGTGCAACTGTGCTGCCTTTATTGTTTGTTGCAGAAAGAGACAACTTCACGCAGCATGTGTCCTCCTGCATTGTGTTTTCATGTTTTTTTTAATATTTGAATAATACTTTAATTCTCAACCACAAAGGAAAATGACTCCCAAGTTTGCTGGCCAGGAGAACTATCTGGGAAGTATGACACTTGGGCCTCGGCTCCAAAAAGTATTCAAGTATTTCTTTAAAATAAAGACGAATGTTGCCAACAGACATGCCCAGAATATCCTCTTAGCATGAGCACTTGCAGCTCATTCCTCAGAGAACAAAATGATAGTTGAAGTCTTCCCAGCAGAAGATGACCTGGATCTAGTGTCTTGCATTTCATGTGAATGCCTGAAGCACTGAGAATTAGGATGAAATGGGCTGCTAGAATAGGAGAAGCAACGTAATTGGCAGATTTGTGAATCTAGCTCAGAAAAAAACACATTGGAGAAGGGGTTCCTCCCAAAGAAAACAATGATTTCTTATCAAATCCACAAATAATTTTGAACTCGCCATTCCTGCCTTTTCAGTGTGTATTTTGAAACTGTCCAGCTGCAAATGAGAGCCTCCCAGGCTTCAGGAAGCAAAAACTTCTACTGTCAGCAACAGTACTGTCTCCCACTACCGTCCTCATGAATTTGGTGACAATATTGCCACTAATTTTACAGCAAGCACAGTCAGGCCCTTTGGACAAAATCTAAAAGTCCTGTTAGAAGAACTGAGTGTTGAAAAGTTTAGCTAATCAATATGCAACCAGTAGTGATTATTAAAGATACACATCCAAAGACTTCCAAATACACATTCATACATATCCTTCAGAGAAAAAAAATGTTTGCACTTCAGAAACATGGTTCAGATTAGATCCATGTTTCCATAGGCTGAATATAATATTCCCGAAAACAAAGGCAAAGGAGAAACGGAAAAGATGCACAGATTCCTGAGCATTGTTCTTTTCCTGTCAGAGGTATAAAAAGGCCCATGTTTTCAAGTGAAAAACATGATCATTTAGGATTGCTCCATAAAAAACCAAGCACTTCTTGAACAGACCTATGTTAGAAAACTCTGTTCAAAGGACTGCATAACTTGGCAGCCCTGGCAAAATGAGATAATGTTCATGTATCATGATACAAATAATCTAGGAATAATCAAAACATGAAAGGGAATTCGGTTCATATGGGCACCTTCTCTATTAGAGTGAGCTGTGGGAATGGCATCCCCTACATTCTCCTCTCTCCTATAACCCTGCTTCAATAGTCAATGGAGTTTTTGCTGGTAGTACCAATGGAAACAGGACTGGGCAACAAGAGTCAGGACAGTGTGATGTACTACCATACCACACACCTGTAAATACATCACTCCGTTTGTTCTCCTGATAGCTGGCTCTCAGCATGGTATCAGATACACGAGTTCTGTTGTCTTTCAGCTGGGAAAAGACATTCACATGTGTTAAATGCTTCTCCAATGCTGGCACAGGGTATATGCTCCACTCAGACTCAGGCTGGCTCCCTCATGAAACTGGTGCTTGTGTAGACATCTATACTTTTGCGATTCTGGCTTGAGATGGGTCACAGGCTACGCTGCAACACAACCAGGGCATTCTAATTACATTTAATTCTGCCTTTTAATTTAAAATCAAAACTGTCCTGTACCCTTTTAGGTACAAAATGAGACAGCAAAAAATATGTGCTTTAAAAACCTGTCCCATGGAACAAGATTTTGATGTGTAGATTTTAAAGCTGCCCAAAACATTTAAGGGAAAAAAAACCAACCAACAGAACAGTCTATTTAAGAAAATCTTTTAATTTTTATTACTTTCTAGTAGTCATTTTCTCATGTGTATGTTTAAATTCTAAACCAGCTATACAATCTACCCTATAGATTTCTTCCCCATAGAAAAAAAAAAAAAAAAAAAGGAAAAATCTTGGGAAAGAAAAGCTCGAGAAGGTACCATCATTCTAAATAGGCTGTATCATTATTGCTTAATTAAGATAATGAAATGCTCAGGGTTGGACCAGGGGAGGCTGGGAGATTACACTTGGCATTCCCTTTCTGGTTTTGTTCTTTCTGCAGAAGACATGCCCTCTTGTGGGGAGAGGTTCAGGCCCATACTGGTCTCCCTTGACAGAGGTTTGCGTATCGGGCAAAAGAAACAGTTGTCACAAACCAGCTTTTTGCTTCCTAATTTCTCACTTTTCAGTCCCTCCTTAGATGCATGATGCTTGGCGTACCTCGCATAGATCTCTTCTGTGGGTTGTGGAGAAGATGAAGAAAAGCAGCAAGCCGTCAGGCTCCAGAAGAGATGATACAGGATGGGTTACACAGTAAGAAGAGTGCGGAACCGGTTCCTTCAGCTATGTCAAATACATTAGTTTTAGCACCTTCATGAAACAGAGGAAAACTGCACTAAAGAAAGCACTGCATAAAAGTTTGCTCATGACAAGGATAAGAGGACACAATTCCCTGGGTCTAAATGAGCATCCTACGAACCCAAAGCATCATCACTGTAGGGATCTCTGCACTGATGTCCTTATTGGCAGGCTCTTAAGCCTTGTCTAAGCTATGGTAAGTTCTGAAAATATTGTCAGGCTCTTAAAAGCCTTTTTCTCCTTTTTTGTAATGTTGATTTGGTCATTACAACCACAATGCGGTTACCTATATGTTGACCTTGCTCATACCTTGAATTAATTTTATCTATTAAAACTGGTCACTTCACAATGCCAAAAATTTAAGCGACCTGGATCATAAACATCCACTTACCATTATTACCATGACAACAGATCTTAATGTAATGTAACAACTCCACTGGAGTTATGAAAACTGAGACCATCAAATTGTATTCAGTGTGAACACAGGGCGAGGAATACCAAACAGCATGATACCTCGTGACTATTAAACACAGGGTGATAAGTCTTCTTCCTCCCTTCAATATTGAAAGCATATTAATTTTCACATATGAGATATAAGCAAATGAACTGTCTCTCCAAAATAGGTAACAGGCTGATGAAACAAACAAATGATCTTTCATTAGGAGTACAAGATAAAAACCAAGCACATTAAAGCACAGAGTCTGGTAGAGTGACAGGCAGCTACTGCACTTGAGTATGTAAAGAGAAGACAGAGAAAAGGCACCCAAAGTGCAACATAATGAGACAGGAAGGAAGATGGTAAGGAAAGAGAAGGGAGGAAGTCAGTGCTAACAATGCTTCTAGCTGAGATACTAGCATAAGACATGACAAAATAAATAGCATGTTCTCTAGATTCACATAACATACATTAATCTCTCCTGCAGCAGGTTCTTTCTGTCTCAAAGTACAAGAACCCCATAATCCTCTCTTAGAAAACTGTTCATTGCTTCAGGGAGAAGGGGTTATTCTACACTGATTTGTTCCTAATACCTCAGTACACAGCAAAGTCACTTTCCTTATCGCTACGGATACATCCGTCTGCTTTGTTGCTCTAGACATAAACAAACTGAAATTGGAGTACACAGTAACCTGTCTTCTGGGTGCCAACCCTCATGGCAGACTACAGGGATATTCTCTCCGCTTTCACTTGTGTGGAATCTTCATCTGACTTCTCTTGAAATGAGAAACTACAGAGCACATCACATACAACTTGAAACGTGAGCTAGCCGGCTTGAGACAATTAACATGCTTCTGACTTAGTGATTCCTATTTCCTTTCAGTTCCATGTAAGAGGATTCAGCACTTGAAATACCTGAGAACTGTAAAGCATTGCAATGTTCATCACTGTTGCAGTTGACTAACAAAATAAAAAATTTAGAGTCAGTTTTTGGAAGGGTTCTGCTCTCTGCTCTCTTGTTCAACTGTTACACAACAAACTGTACACAAACTACATTAGCTTTGTGTCAGAAATAAATTTGGGTAGAATCTCAAGCCTTCCACCGAATCATCTCTGCAAAGATGGCCCATCTTTTCAGCAAGAAGCAGCCTAGAGAAAGCAAAAGAAGACCTGCTGTATTACTTGAGGACAACATGGTAACAAAGGTATTAAACACAGCAATTATTACTTACCATTATTACTTACCTTTCTTTGGCTAAGAGAACAGACATTCCCACCAGCTTAGCAAACTCGTCAGCTGTGAGAGAACCCTTTTCAGATACCTGTCAAAAAACAAACACAAATAAACAAACTATGGCATTAAAAGAACAATGAAGTTCTCTCAGCCACCAAATCAGGTCTAGCCTTGGTAGCAAATCCCTTGTGAAGACAACTAGTTTGTTTGCATTTTAAAAAAAGTACAAATAATTTCAATATTTCCCCTTAAAAAGTAGTAAGTCTAGACTTACTACTGCATTGAATTTCCCAAATAAACATGTTTTATTACCCTACAAATTAATAATTCTGCCATTTCTCCATTGCTTCAGATTCAAGCAAACTTGTAAAACCACATGCAGTTGCCATTTCCTGCTTCCCACATAACTGGGTGGGGAGGGGTCTATTCTGCATCATTCTCGGCAGTAGTCTTTTTACAGAAACTCAAGATGAAATTAGTCCTAACTTGAGATTTTATGAAGCCAAGTGATCAAATCTGAGTAATGGAAGTCAGCTATACAATGTAACATGCATATAGGTGATTAATTATCTTTTCTTCCCAAACCACTACTCTCATCAAGGGTCATTTTGGGTTCCTTTGACTTCCATGTCATTTCCTGTCTTCATCAGCCATTCAAAATCACCCCTCTCTCCTGTCTGAAACCCTGTGACTTCCTTTCACTTCTTCTCAGAAGCTTCATGTTATCGTACATTATACATTAAGTACAGGGTGCTTTTGGCCACAAGTCTGATCTCATCTTCCCTTTCCCTTATGGGCTAGCCTTTCTCATTCAAAGCCTCTCCCTTACATTTTTCTATGGAGTAAAAGTCTCATATTATGAAAATAAAAGAAAAAAGGCACTTCAGTAATAAATTCACCATCTGTTGCAGTTGACCTCATTTGTTATCAAGAAAAGGTTTTTCCTTTCCTTTCAAAGAGATAAGCACTCTTATTGAAGGCAACAAATTAATTAGAAACCAAAAATAATCAGAAAAAAACCTTAAAATGGTCTAAGTATTCTTCTGTAAATATAAGAAAATAAACTGAAAGGATTAACATATATTGAAAGATTTAAGCATTTCAATTTTGATAATTTAGGATGGAATCTTTTAGACGGCTATATACATTTCTCTTATCTAAAAATCTTTTTGATGAGAGAAAGCTATACGGTAACAATCATGCAAAATGCCCTGAAGAGTCTACCTCATGTATCAAGTGAGAAGGTCTGGGTTAGCTCTACTTTTTCTTGACTGCCCAAGTCAAAGTCCTCTTTGATGTTTAACTTTGGATACACTGAATCAGCCTTTCCTCAACTTTATGAAAAACAAAAAATGACATCCCTCTGAAAAAGACACAGGAAAATGCATCAGATAATGGGATAGCAGGACCTTAAAGAGTCCAGGGGTAGCAAGACCATGAAGGTTTACCACACTGAGCAATTTATACTATTTTTTTTTTCCCTGATGAAGCTAGCTTAATTCTATACACGCTGTCCTCCAATTGAGCGTTCTTCACTGTGGCAAACTCGGTACAAGATGTTACACATAAAATGTGCTATTTTATGAAATAAACCCAAACTAAACAACTGCCTATATCAACATTTAAGGCATTCACTACCTTCAAGCACATTGTGTACAGCGTCTGAAGTCCACTTCTGTTAAATTAAGTGCTTAACACATACCATGAATTTCATCCTACAACGCAAAAGATTTGGAGGAAGGTTGTAGGTTAACGAAGTTTGAAAAGAGATGGAAAAGTGATCTATCCCTTAAGGAGAAAGCAGCGACTAAGATTATTGCCTGCACAGCACTTTGAAGATGAAAAGTGCTATTTAAGTATTACTGTTAGAAGATTTGGAAGTAGAATATTTTGTATTTCAAAACCTCAAAAGGAAATCCTGTACATCAAGTTTTTATACCTAATGTGTTTAAATTTCCCCAGCACGGTCAGAACACTGAAGGAAATGAAGTACACTTACCATCTCTAAAGCAGAAGCTACCATTTCCTCTTCGTTATGAGACTGGAGTTCAATCACCATCACACCACTGTCAAATATCCGAAGCCTAAAACCAAGACAGAGTCAAAGTAACTAAAAACCCTGTGCACACCACCTATGGTCACATTTCTAATGCATCCACACCTACAACCACAGTGCAAAAAGGAAAAAGAACCCCAAAGCTCTGTAAAATGAACTTAACATTAAAAGCATCTTCAAAATCTGAAGAGACTGAAAAGAGCAGGGCATATGTCTGGGCTTAGTTAAACACTTTTCCAGTATAAAAAACTGTATTTGAAGTGAAAATAATATTGTCTTCCTAGCAAAGTGAACCATGGTTAAAAATTCGTATTTTAATGTGCAGTAGATGTTGGTGTATACAGCAACATCCTTTAAGCAAAGGATGACTTTGTTTAATTAAAAAAAAATAATCTACTGCAGGTAAAATATTAAGTCATCCAAGCACCACAGTCTAACTGGCGAGTGCCGTGTTTTATAAATACCTCTATAAAGCCCTTACCTTAGTGGTAATTTCAGTGACTCGAGCATCTTACAAGCATTTACTAAATCTTCTGGTGACAGCAACTATTAAAACAGTAAAACATATTTATTCGCATCTTGCATTTCAAGTGTACAGCATAACACCAAAACAAAGTTTTAAAAACTACAGCTGTAAAATACACCAGGCTACACAACATTGTTAATTTTCTTCCTTTCTATTGTCCAGTCTATTTTCTTGGCTTCTATGCTCTTTTCTGTTCCCTTACTATGTGTTCTATAATAATCATTCTTGCCCTGTTTACAGAAAGAATTGATGTATTTTGTAGAAAAAAACCCACAACACCAACATTCACCATTCTTTAGTATTTTCTGTCCTATCAGTTTTCTTTCCACATAAGGATGGGTTTTCACTTTTATATGGTATTATAAAAAGCAGCATATATTATGACAACTTAGAAAGGATACATAAACATTACATGGAAGGAGGAGAAAGGAAAAAGGTAAAAATCCCTAATTTTAATAAAGGGCTAATCACTTCATGCTGCTAGACAGGTAGAGTGAGCAACTGGTAGGGAACATTTTTACACTTTTTCTTAATTATCTTATGACATTTTATAAAATATTTAATAAAAAAATTTCTCACCTCTAATCCTCGTGCACGATTTACCAGACAGTATACTTCTGTAAGTGACATGATCCCTCCTCGCTCCTGTGTTAAGGACAAGACTGGTAAGAGAAATAGCATTCATCTAGTAAACACAGTATCTCAACTTGCATTTGACTGACTGAACAGATAAAACAGAGGCACTAAATGATGGGCTTCAATGAAAAAAACTACCCAGGCAATAGCATGTATTTCTACCATAAGAGGTAAGTTAGTTGGATTATATCTTTCTCTAAGAATTTTAAAATGCAAAACACTGATATTACATCCAAAGACTGTGAATCACTTTGATTTTAAAGCAGAGTATAAATCACATATTTAATATATTGAAATTCTTTCTTCCTATCAATCAATTTACCAGTTTTACTTTTCAGAAACCCTCAGTTTTCCATTCTGATCATAGTAGGTAGAACATAGCTTTCAGAAAAATACTGTAATATGTATGCTTTTTAGTAGACACATAGCCTTGTAAGTTTCAATCTGAAATCTAACTTTTTGGTGAGCATCTTAGAATTCTGTATTAGCTTCAGATAAATTAAAATATCAGATATTTCTAAGGGGCAGTTAATCTATGTAATAACTATGTGCTATATTTGCAACGTATGTAGTTTTTAAGCAGTTTAAAGTCTGACTACTTATAGTTTAAAAGTCAGTGTTGTTTCACTCTTTCTTTAAAGTTATATTCTGTGGCAAGGGACAAATACAGGGCTGTTCAAATAGAAGAAAGACTGCTAATGTGATTTCCTAATATCACTGATATTTTGCAAATTAGAAGTTGAGATGCCATTGCCCCAAAGAAAAATTCTTCCTTATATTTAAACTTTACTATTCAGAAACAGGGTACATACTCCTTCCATAAATGCTGAATATGAGGCTGTGCTGCTAAATCTGAGACTTTAAAAACAGGCACAGTCCTACAGCCAAAACACATTTACAGCAACACATGGAAAATGCTGGTGCAAAATGAGGGATTTTACCTCTAACGGTGCCTGCAGTATTCCGGCTAGTTGCTTCGCCAGTTGCATATGGTAATGTGTACCAGATCCATATGTTTCCCTAGTAACTGGATTGGCTATACCCATACTCAGTAGATAAGACTTGAACCTAATAGTCTAAACAAATAAATAAATACATTTAAAAGTACCTCAGTTAGTGAATGATTCTGGGTTTTAAGTGTCTTTGATTTTATTACTACAAGACAGTTTTGGTGAACAAATCCATTCAGTTTACTACCATAAAGTCAATTGCTAGCAAAGAGAAAGCAAGGCTTAATACAATTTATTTTTGACGAGCAGAGGTGAAAAATACAAAAATTTACACAAAGGCAGTAAAATCTTTGCTTTTAAGAAAGGGCCAAAAGAAAAGCTAACACCAAACAAATAACTTTCTTTAACTTTATGTAGAATTAAACACAAAAAACCCCAACCATGAAGTGTTCTTTATTAACATTACATTATTAACCGGATAGCTTTTTTGCTTTGCATAGAAACATGTCTGTTGACTTTAAAAACAAAATTAATTTACCTCATCCTCAGTGATGTCACCTTGTTTTTCTTTAATCTTATTAGCTATTGACTTTGATAACTCCACCATTTCCTTAGCCTATCAAGAAAGTCATGTAGGTAAGTCAACTTTCAGCTCGACAGAGAAAACATGCTTAAAACCGAGAAAAGAAGCGTAAGTCTACTTGGATAAGTGACACATGCCATACCTTCTCCATTAGTTTGCTAAGGTCCTCAAAAGCCTGAAATGAAAAGCAGACATTGCAGATCAGTGTAATTACAGCATTCAGGTTCATGGATACAGTGAGCTGCCTTTGTCCACCTAGCCAAACTATTCATAAAAGCTGCCATCCCTTTAGATTAGTATGTTATAATGTGAGCTATTATATATAATTGGTTGATATATCTGTTTTGTATCAGGTCTTAAAATCAAAATTATACAATCCATAAACAACAAAGAATGAAGAAAAGAATCAATCACACACTTTTTTGGTATGTGAACACTAGTTCAATATGATTTATGAAATCTGTATGATAGGAAGGAACAATGAGATACTGAAGCCCGGAAAAGATTAAACTGTCCAAGTTTATTATGCTGTCCTAAAACCTGGGGGAATGTTTCTTGATGGTGATCCAACAGTTAACCCTCAAGGAGATCTATTGTTTCTAGCTAGCAGCAAGCCAGCTGTAAAGCTACAGAAGTACTCCTCCTGACAAGACAAGTTTCATCAGTAGATGAAAGTTAGTAAGAAACAGTCATTTCAAATAAGCAAGAAAGAGGGTAGATGCTTTCACGTATATGCATAACTGAAAAGACAAAAGCTCTGAAAATGTGTGGGAACATCTGTTCATGTAAGTATTGCATACATATGAACAGTGGTGCTACCATAACAAACAAAAAACAGTTAAAAAATGAATGAAATAAGGACCATGAGACAAATTATCAGATTTAAATAAATTAAGATAAAAACTAGAAAAAAGCATCCTCTGAAAACTCTATAGGTGTTGGACCTAAAAACCAAAACACTCACTAGAGAAAGGGAAGAATTATTTGTGCAAACCAATTTTTTTCTAGTCTAAGAAACCTTTTATTTTGTTTCCACAAAAAATATTTAATAAACTGGGCATCCATCATAGGACCACAATTATATCAAGTCTATTAAACTTAGTAAACTGCTACGGTCTTAAATACAATTCTACAACAACCCACAAAGGGCATTTTTAGGCTTAAATAAAACATACTTTTAAAAAAGCTGAAGGTATACTGAATTTCAAAAGTTTTAGTAATGATAACCAACTAGCTTTAAAAAAATTCATGTTAAAAAAAAAAAAGACTTAGCAATGGTATTAATGCAACTATATTAAAAAGCAACTCTCATTTCTCCCATCCTCAGCAACACACATTCAGCCTTCTCACCCGCTCCTCTCAAACACATGACAATGTGCCCAGGTGGTTAAGCTTCTCAAACAATCTTTTTTTTTGAACAAGTGGTGTGAGAAAAATTCCTGAACCTTTTCAGCTAAAGCTTGCCTGACAGCAGCATCCAATCCCTCTATCCACAAGTTAAGAAGGTTGTTCAGTTAGAGACTGGTCAAATGACCAGAGAGACATCTTGCCTACAGCTTCTGGTCATTGCTTTTATGTGATTCTTAGCTTATTCTGAGTAATCCTCCACTAGAAAGACATATTTAGCAGAACTTGTGAAGGAAGACCCAATTGTTCCCATCTACATTTAGGCACCTTACTTAGAAGCTTATCGGTCTGAGATTCAACATGCAAAGAGAAAGAGATGCCTCCAGGAAGAGACAGGGTTTGCTTTTCACCTGAATCCCTCCTAATGGTGCCTGGGTTTCTCCACTGACTGGGAAAGTCTAGCCTCTTAACACTTGGTACCTAAGTTAGGTATCCAAAATTAAGTGGGACAAAACTAGGTCCAAGGGAAGAAAAGAAAATATACCACCATACAACAATAATCTACCACCATCAGAACAAAACCTTCTCTTTGGAATGTTTCTTCTTACTTCCTAATCTGCCAAATTAAATAATTTACAATAGATTCCCCAATCTCTAATGTAAATCAAAGTCCTTCTACTGTACTTGTATATGATATCAACAAAAAGTTTTCTAACAAGGCTTTTTTCCAGCTTATTTCTAATCTCAATAACCTGCATGAAAACATCACTCATCAAAAGAACCCTTGATTTAGCTACACAAACAGCATACTGTTTCTAACTCCTCCTCTGCCTGACTCACTGAGGGCAGGCCTGGAAACAAAGGGGAATGTGCACACACCTAACAGGAACTTCCTCAGATAAACAAAGGCTAAAGAACTGGATTCTTATCAGCAGTGAACAGCACATGCAGGAAGCCTTTTCCTGGAAGCCAGGGCACCATTTTTTAAATTAAGTCATTTATAACATTTAAAGCTGGAGGAAGGCAGGATTTTACAAGTCATGGTTTTCCTCCGTTCATACAACACATATAAATGGATTTCTTTTACTCTCTGACAAAACTACTAAAGGAAAAAATAACCAGACAATACCTTTTGAACTATATACACACACATGTAACCACAATACCTTTTGAACTACACACAGAACTTCATTCATTAGGGTCCTCATAAACAGAAAGTAAAAAGTTTAATGCTACCAGTACATGAAACAGCATGCAGCCTGCAAAAGTCCGATAATTTTCTTATATATCAGAGCAGTGAATGCCTTTTTTATTGTGGCACACTGAATCCTACAAAGCTTTGCAACAAGAATAAATCCGTTGCACATAGTTTATGAGTACTTCTGTATTAATCTCTATTACCAAGACAGAACCGGACTATTTTTAAGGATATTGCTCCCAGATATATATGAAGAAATTAACTGCCTCTGTTGTCCATCAGTATTGATATCTGGAATTCAATTACTGTGCTGTTTTGGGGAAAAAGATTTTCTCCATCTAGCCCAGGTATCCTGCAAAGATGCTTGTTACATCTTGCTGATGCCTGCACTGCAGAACATTTTACTATAATTATAAGCCTAAATCTAACATTTAAAAACTGAATATTTACAAGATGAAAACCTAACTTCACCACAGTTATGAGCAAACACTAGGATCAGCATATTCGTCTTTATATGTATTAAATTTTCAACTGAAACCAAAATTAGCTGTAAAAAAAAAGGAAGGAAAAAACATCCAAACTTGTAAGAGTCTCTTTCTGCAGATGCCTTTGTGTTCTGCCTCCCAACGAAAAGTCACTGAACTCAGATTTCTAATTCTACCAAAAATAATTTTATAAATACACACTGTTTCAAAGAACAGTCTTCTTGAAAGGAATTGTTTAAATGAAGTACCTTTACATATGTTGAAAAGCCAGTTAAACATAATAAATAACTGTAAATTATACACTCTTAATCAATTTAGAGTTCTCAGCAAAAACAATAAATACTCTCGGATGCCCCTAAAAGAAAGTGTGAATGAATGTAAATAGTTCAGACAGGTGGTTGACCTTGAAACTTCAGTAGTATTTACCTCGGAAATGTTTTTGTCAGTCTCTTTTCTTTTTTCCTCTAATTTCCTTTCAATCCCTACAATTCCTACAGCCCTTATTCTTCCTGCCTGCAAAAGAAAATAATGAAAGGAATCAGAATAGGAAATGCTAAGTTTTCTCATCCACCTCTCTGTGAAAAGCCTTACATTAGAAGACAGAAAACATTCCCCCAAAGAGCTGATATCATGCATACAATATTTCATATATTTCTTGAAAGTATTTTTTAAAGCAGTGTCAAAAAAATGTGATAAGTGCAAAGCATGGATGAATTTGCATTAGTAGACAGATAATAAGATTATTATATTGAAGCTATTAATATGAAGATGCTCAATAACCTAATCCAGACTGAGCATTCCCGCTTATCCCAATTAAAGCCTCCCAAGTCCATGTGAACATGTGTACTAGACCTGTGTGAGTGTATCCAAATATGATTACGTCAAGAAATCTAGCCTGAAGAAATATAGCCACAGAAACACAATGCAGTCTAAATTACCTTGGTGAGAAGTATCAGTATGGACGTGATGGTGAATCTTTCATTTGATGCCAAATGTGTTTTGGAAAGGCTGGTACCTAAGTGGCAGGGGTGCCAGCCCTCAAATCTCTAACTGCAAAGCTTAGCACTGGTGCTAATGATTTGCTATTATTTAAGAATAAGGACAGAGGTAAGGCATTTTCATTAAGTGATTCTCCACGCAGCCTACAGGCTTCCCCATTAGTCCATCAAATGCAACTATGTTTATAGGTACTACGTTTACAAAGGAGAGCATATGTGATTTGACATTAAACAATGTTTAAATGATCCTATTTCATTCACAGTACTATACATAGTACTATATGTTCAATATATTCGTATACAGAAACAACATCCACAGGTTTATCAGAGTTTATAACCCAGAAGTACCCAGATAAAGAAGGCAATCTAACATATGACAGAGATTGTCTGTAACAACTGTCCATTTAGAACATACAGTTAAACCAAACACATAGGTTCCGAACAGGTATGTAAAAGTTACATATTATATATTTGACTTCCAGCCACAAAAAAAGCAAAGAAAAATCACAGTTAAGACTAAAAATCCTTCAGCTTCATTAAATCTCTCATGCTGAATAAAATTGTATACAAATATTTATATACATATTTGCATAACTACATATATGTATGTGTGTCTGACTCCATTTACAAAAATGGAGCTCATTATCAACTATTCAAGTCTAAACACACTCAAGGAAGAAAGGCTGCAGCGTTCTCTGTTAGGTGAAAACTGGAAAGGAGAAACTAATTTATGCCAGTGAAGAAACAGGCAAAGTAAAGCTGAATTCCTAGATATGCCCACAGTGTTGGTTAGAGAGGCATGTCATATGGGGGCAGCAAGCAATGAAACAAGAGATTACACACAGATTCTGCACTTAAGCTAAACAAAGTGACACGTGACATACAGAAGGATGTAAGAACCTTTGCACATACCTGTGAATCCTTGTTAACTTGAATGGTCTGACCGGTAGGCATGTTCTCCCATCTCCTTTGTGTGATTTCTTCTGATAATCGTCTATAGAACTGCAAACATTAAAGAGTGACAACAGATGTTTCATAAACTGTGCAGAGTATGTCTGGGTATTTTTAGCATCTTGGTGGTAGATGAAACAAACTTCACTGTAAGACAAAGCATGGTAACACCTACACATCCACAGTATAACATTCATTATCTGGAGATTCTTAACATCCAATCTTCAGAAATATATACATTAGAGGAGAAAACACATAGTTACTAGTTCAACTTGCATGAGTACTTCTATTCCACAATGTTTTTTTTCAGATATTCAAAATGTTCCAAAACATGCTAAAGCTAAAAATGTCAAGGTTTGCTTCAAGGCATGCTTTTAACAGGAAGGAAAGTTCATCAATCCAATGACTGTTGATATGTTGAATTAACAGTATAAAGACAATCACATAGATCAATTACGCTATTTGTTTATTGCTAATACCAGAAAATGGCATTAGTTAATTAGTTATCACTGACCAAAATCCAGAAAGAAATTCCATTCTTATGGTTGTTAAATGTTCACAGGAAAGCACCCTGAAGTCATAAAGATCTGGAGTGTAACTGATATGTTAGGTCACGAGTAAGCATAGTAATTTTGATTCTCAGACATGAACATTAACATTAAAATAAGTAAGGTTACAATTAGGCAAAACACCTATCCACCCTTGCCCTAAGCTGAAAACTGCTCACAAAGAAATGAGAGTCAGTCTGATCATGCACATGCATTTGTAAGACATTTATAACTAATTCAAGTTGAAAATCTGACTTTCTGCAGTGAACAGTGAAAAAAATGGGTTTTTTTCATTTTTCAGTTAAAATTCGCAGACTCTTCAAGTGAGGATCTTACACTGTGAAATTTCTTTACAGAGTGCAATTTGTCTTTTAGGATAAGCCTTCTTCCAAAAAAAATTACTTTTTTTTTTACAATGCGCAAAGCTTTTGAGATTTGGTGTAGGTAAAAAAGATTTGTAAAAAGGCTCTGAGGCAACAAAAAGTGTTCAGCAATAAAATCAGAGACATGATTAGCACTAAGTTGCTTGATTCCTGTTCAGTATAGGGTTAGCTACAAACAAGCACCTTTTACCCTGTTAAACATCTAACAGATTTCAGAGACGTCATTTTGGAAAATCCTGTGTTCAATTTAAAAGATTAAAAACAGAAGTATAAGATCATATTAAAACTACTAAAACAAGGACAAAGCCTAATAGTGCCTCCTGACAGTTTTGGAACTCTATTTACATTACTTAACCAAAGTATAGATCCCCGAAGGCTCACAGTGTTTGTCTTCAAAAAGGATGTATTGAAAAAGCTCCACCTCAAAAGTAAACATGGAAAGATCATGGAAAATTATCACTAACACAGCAAGAGGAGAAAGGCATGTCCAAAGGTCTGATGTGCTGGGCTTGCATGGTACGAAACTTACCTCAATCTGCCCATGTTCCTTGAAAGAAAGTTTGATGTAGGAATATTTGCTGCTTTGGAATGGACCAGGCTCTTTGTTCGAAGAAGCAAGATGAAGATGAACTACTATTTTGGCACTAAGAAAAAGTTAAAGGAAAGAGAAGAGGTAGCTTCCTGTAATATCTAAAAAAATCGTTTCTGAAAAGTTAACCATTTCATCAAAACTTGTATTAACTTTAGCTCACATAAGATCTAAAGTATACAGAATAATGCTTTACAGTTTGCATCAACATTTAAGTATTTTGACTCAATATTACAGTAGGTCTTGCATTAAAACTACTATAACCTCTAAACCAGCAACATCTCACAAATTTAAAATATACACACCATAAATTAAGAAATAAACATAACAAATTCTAACATTTCAAGCAATAATTCTGAAAAATCTTTTAGTTAAGATATAAACTAATTGTCAAGTAGTCATTCGATTTGGATTTTGACTTGCAATAACTTCTGCCAAAATACACTATCTTTGTCACAGGAAAACAAAAGGTCTCAATATTATGTTTAATCTATTCCACTTGTGTATGTCACTCACGAACACTGTATGTGAATTTGTCCAAAACCAACATTCAAAGGTAACATACATGGAAATAACCATCTAAAATGACACCTACCACCAAAACAAACTTTGAGATAGCATTATTTTAGGAACATAATACACTGCTATCACAGCATGACTGCAAGTCTGTCATTCCCATTTCATTTTACTGATACTTTTTTCATGGGTCTTTATTACGTGAGTTCTCCAGTGTTAGTGAATTACCTGATTTCTTCTGGATACCCCAGGCATATTACCTTACCCCTTACCCTTGCCTACAGTCTGCAAACGGATGTCAACTACATATATATTTCTCCAGTTAATATTTTTTTCTCTTCTTCTTGTGAAACTTCTTTATACGCATACCATACTGAATTAGTTATTCAAGTGAGTGGAAACATTTGAGTTCCTTCTAACCATCACTAGCATTTCCACGCTCAAAATCAATCATATGGTCAATGAAAGTTATATAATATGGGATCTGGCAGAGTTTCTATCCCCAACCAGTTCTGTGGCACAAAAGACTAAAATTAGCTTTCAAATGGAAGTGTTTAAGGTCAGGTTGGATGAGGCTTAGGACAACGTGGTCTGGGGGAGGGTGCCCCTGCCTGTAGCAGGGGAGTTGTAACTAGATGATCTTTAAGGTCTCTTCCAACCCAAACCATTCTATGATTCTATGAAATGTAGATCCAGCAAAATCACTGTTGTCATTTACGACTAATCAAATGAAAATTTCAAGCTAGAACACATACTTGTTTAGTGATTACAAGACATTTATTTAACAAATCACATCAAACACTGCTTTGTCATGACTCTCTTAGACATTTGATCTCAAGTGAGGAAAGCAGGTCCTTGTGCCTTGCAATCTGGAAACTTGGATTGCAAGTGGAACCTACCATGAATTAATACATAATCTTGGGTACCTCACATAACATCCATGGGCAAACTATCAATCTGAAAAAGACAATGACTATCACCTTACCTTTTTCCTATACCAGCTGCTTGCTCTTCAATAAAAACGACCTGAGACAGAGGTATAGCAATGCAGCACTCCTTGAATAATCAATGAAAAAACACAAGTGAAATTAAAGCCATGTCCTGACTATTCACTCTCTAAACCCAAGTGTTCTCCTTCTCCTTTTCACAAACAGTACAGATTTCTACAGGTGCTGCCTGAGGCACTCCAAGTGAAATACAATGGTAACAATAGGAACAATCTATTAAAGAGAAATACAAGTAGAAATACAAAGTTGAAACTGAGTTCTAGATAATAAAAAAACCCAAGCTTAAGCATCAACGTGTCAACTTTAGACATCTCAAGCTAGATTCATAGACGGATTTGTGAGTTTAACGAATCTTTAGTATCTAAGTTCAAAATTTAAACACTAAAATTTCCACACTACTGCAGCATATCGCTGCAGGTGCACAATGCTTATAGGTTCTTAACATTTTGGCATTGATGTTACTTTGGGAGCTAAAACAATATCCAAAAGCACCAGTCTTAATGTTGAACGTCTGAAAAACTAGACTATCTGAGTGGAATAGGAATTTCTCCATCTATCCCACACCCAAGGACTTAATCCAGCAGTTCATGCATCTCAACACACATTTGTTGGACTGTACTTTAGACAAAACAAAGCAGAGCAAGAAACAAGACTGTATCCATCTGTGGGAGACTTACCCACCCAGGTTAAACCTTTACTACGTGCATTTAAGACAGAAATTGATCAAAGGAGCAATTCAAAGCATCTAATTAGGTGCCTGGTCTTGTTTTGGTGAGTGTCCTTTCGTGAACGTTAGTCTTCCGCACAACAGCTTGGTGATCAGTACGGTCACCCAGAATACAGAAACATAGGTTACATTCCCTCTTTGGACCTCTCTTCCATCTGCCGGGAGGGTGTGCCTAACACCAGGTTACAATGAGCACCCTTATGGGGCCCTCTCAATCCCCACTACCAAAATTGTTCCTCTTTGCATGAAATGATTAAATACTCATTGAATTGGAGATTAGGGAAGTATACATGCAGGAACTCTGACTAAAAAGGAAATCTCTCATTGGAAAAAAACATGGGTTGTATTTCCCTTTTTAAAAAACTCTTAATACAAGCTATTTAGATTCTTGTATTGCTTCAGATTCTGCAGCCGTTACATGCAACAGGTTACTGTTTGTTGTCCACATAGCTCTGGACACTTTAATACAGGTAAAATTATACTTCTGTTAAAAAAAAAAAAAGTTTTTGAAAATGACAAGAGTGTCCAACTATATATAGTATGTACACTGTCAAAATGATTGATTCATTTAGTTCACAGTTAGAAAGTTATGAACTTATTGTAAGCACAAGGACTTAGTATCACCCCTTCCTGGTCAGAGAAGCAAGAGGAAGGGATACAAAAAGACAGATGTGTTAAAAATACCGTGAGTTTATTGGATAATTTATTTCTAATGTCTCATGCTCACATTATGCATGATTTTATGGTTTAAAAAGTTGTACAAATCTAGCTATGTAATAAACTTAAGAGAATTATGTATTTTTTTCCTTTGGAAATCACTGTATTTTCTATACTATTCAACTGCAGTTTACAGCTGTTCTTGTAAAAATGTTTGCAATGTTAATCTAGTGGCAAGTGCCCTGTTTATTACTAAAGTTTGCTGACACCATAAAAGGGGAGTCTCTCTACAAGTTTATTCTAGGTAAGCTAGCTGAAGTTTCTAAGGCTGATGTTGTATCGCAGCTGAGCTTAGCCAACAAGTGACCATGAAAATAAAACGGCACTGTGCTCCCCATGTCTCAGTCCTAAGAGCCTGAAAAAGAATCAGGTTTATTTACCACACTAACAAAGTTATCTGTATTTATATCCCCTGATCAGAACTAGGTAATTTTTGCCAATCTCCTGGACATATGTTTCTGCCCCTTCTGTTAATCAAGCCTGAAGCCTGTCAGAATCTTTGCTGAGTTAAATTCATTTGTTAAAATAAAACTTTTTCTTCCTCATTCTCCAAGGTTCTTCTCTGCTGATTTAGCAAATTCAATGATCTTGGAAGAGTAAAAGAAACCATGTGGCCTAGGAGCAGGGGGAGAAGTCAGAAAAAGAGACAAACATCATCCTTTTGTTGGGAAGGACAGAATAGGGATACGGACAGTTGTAAGACTTGCTGAAGCCATAATGCTTAATGTTACTCCAAGCAAGGAAAAAGTCCAAGTGAGAAGATTAGAGGCAGTGCACAGTGCAGTGCATGCCCACCTCTCAAAATGAGATGCTGATGAAGAAATAAGAAGTGATTAACATAGACAGTTTAGCCCAGATAAATTATCTCAGGCTGACTGTGCAAAAAAAAAAAAAAAAAAAAAGTTAATTTATACAGAATAGCTCACAGTGTGGACAATCAACCTCTGACTTCTTCAACAGTAACCCCACCCTGGGGACCAGCTCTCAAAACATTTCGAAAAATTCATACTAAAAATAGTTCTGCTGTTCCTGCAAACAATCCCTAAAGAAAAAAATGTATTGCTTTGCCAAATTAAGAACATTCTTTGTGACCTTACCTTCAGAAGGCTCTTAATAGCTCCCTGCTTTGGAGCAAGGATGTGATATTTGGTAGGGAATGGCCTTTGGGTGCCAGAGGTGCTTCAGCTATCCTTGTGCAAAATTAGTCCAATGGATTATTTTAGGCCTTTGAAAAGTTGGCATTTGCACATGCTTTGTCAAAACTTTGGCTTCCAGGGTTAAATTTCTACAAGACTGTGTCCAAAACAAGCATAATCCAACCTGGTTCTGAGGAGGACTTCTCCTTCAACTGCAGCTGCAAAATGGTGCACATCATCACAGTCTATGCTTAGAGCTTTGTGTCTGTAGTCTTTCTCACCCATTTCTAGCCTGCAATCTCAGGCTGTGGCTTGATGATACAAAGCATCCAGCAGCAGTGTTACTACGCTGTAGTTCTGACACTGCCACTTAACCTCCAAGTCAATTCTCTATAGCAGTACACACAAATGTTCTGGCTTAGTGAAGGGATGGTTCAGCACAGGAACAGGCAGTTGGGAGGGTAAGACCCGTACAAAACAATAGGGCCACCAAACAGAACCTATTATCAAATCATGGTCTGGGACTATATGGTGGGAGCAGAAGACAGGGAAACTTGGACTTGAAAACAATGAGGAAGTAAAGGTCTTGCTAGATAAGGAGCATGGGAGAGGAGTTCACATTACAATTTGCCTGACATATTCAGCTTCAGTCTCAAAAAAATGGTTTTTAGTGCATGATACCAGACTCTTTTCTCCTCTATTTTTGTGTCGTAGAAAAGGAACGTTTATATGATTGATTCCCATCTCTCCTCATCTTCACACAATTATTTTATTAAAGTAGAATTGGGCGAAAGAACATTCCTCTACATAATTTTCTTTCCACTGTGAGCCAAAAAATGGATTATACTTGTAAAACAAAACACACACAAAAGAAAGAAAGATCTCTCCATGTGCAGTCTTTTCATTGCAAGCTACCTGTTGTTTATCATGGAATTTGCAATTGAATGGCATAAAAGAGACAAAAGCAGGACTTACATGATTTTTCTGATCCCTCCAGATCAGTCTGTGTGTGCTAAGCAGTAATACTCCACTATCAAATTTCACCTAAACAGGAAAAATAAAACAGATCGACAACAAATTTAACCAGTAAGTTGCATAAATATTGATCTTGAAAACATTACCACAACATCACAATCAGATTCAACAAATCAATATTTTGAGAACACTTTTTTTTTTCAGAAAACACAATAAATAAAGTTTAGGAAACAATGGAGAAAATCAGTATAAAAGATTAGATGGTTATACACAAACTTCCTTTTTCAACTGCATAAACTTTCCCCCAGGAAATCCTAAAGGATCCTCCCTCCATATGCTGTGCAAGATATACAAACATTCCTAAATATCATATTTTAAACAGGGCTATTGGCTTTGGAACACTATTTGCTGACAAATAAAGTAAAAATTATGCAAAAAAGCAAACCAACCTACTAAGAAGATGCTATACACAGTCTGAAATCTTCTGGCCTATCACATAGGAGTATTGCCTCTATCCATTTTACTGTGGAAAAGTTTTTTATTTATCAGACAGCAATCAGTATGTGGAAAATCTGTGTTAACAAATTGCTTCCTACTTGTAAAATTTGAGGCATGTTTTCACAACTTTTTATGAGGGTATGCAACTACTGTGGTGTGGAAAAATGAAGAGATCAAGAGTTACTCCAGCAGTAAAGCAAAGCAGAAAAGTGGGTAGGCTCAGGTAAGAGCAGAGGGCAAGACAGCACCCTTGATGACCAAAGCTAAAGAGCATTTTACAGCTGTCAGGACGACTCAAGCATGAACTGTATGGCATGCCCTGTACATAACATCAAGCGAGGACAGCAACACGGAGGAAGGCTTAGTCCCTGACACAGGAAGGCGGTGACAGCCCCAGCAGGGGACATCAAGTTTCACGACAGTGACACCAGCTACACACGCCCTGTGGGGATGCCAACCCTCCCTCCGTGTGGCACACACCGTCCAAGGCCTTTCTCGGTTCCACAAAGCCTGGATCCCCTCCCTAATAATCTTCTGACAAAGCCAAACCCTGCCAGACTCTGGAGCAAAACGCACACGTCCCCCCACACCTCTGATCGACGCTCCGCCTGCAGCCCAGGCCCCTTCACACCCCTCGTCTCGCCCCTCCTAGCACCCTTTGCCTGATACCACCCATAATCACGTCCCCTGCCGCCCCGG